GATCCCACCGAGATCATTTAAAAGATTCACTGCAGTTTCTGCAAATGTCAAGGAGCTGAATTCAAGAGGGGCAGTTAATTTATGGTGTAGGTGAACATTGCGTCAGGATTTGGACTATTCCTGGTAAAATACCATCATCTTCCCCCAACCCCCAAATCATAAGCATTTCTCCAGGTTTTCCAGTCTAATAATGTAAGAATAAAATAGTAGGGCTCACCGCAATACTATGAATGTTGTGAGTAGTATATGAATATCGTTCATATTAACACTGTGAATACCGCCATCATCTCTGATTCCATCCCTATCATTTTGTAACTAATGGAACCTCCAAGTCTTCACTGTCCCTGAGAGTGACTGAGTGGTCAGGAATGGTCTGTGCCACAGGCTTAGGTGGTACCACTTGCTCCCTCCACCAGGGTGGACTGAGAGTGCTCCTACGCTGGTCGTCTGCTCATGGCTTCTTTCTTTCCTGCCAATATTATTTCCTCTTTTGTAGACATGTCATCATGTACTTGCAGCTTCTTCCAAATCAACGTTTTAACATTCTCCATGAAGAAACAGTCCCAGACAGCCATGCTTGGTAAATATAACTCTCGTCCCTAATTGCAGTTCACTGTCCTAGAGATGGGTAGGTTCCCTAGAAGTCTCTCCTTTGATACAGCCCCAAAGGATGAGCTGTGCCAACTCACTTCTCTCCCTGGGTAATGTGTTGTGTGAATTACCATGATAAGGAAGAGGCCAGTAGAAGCCAAAGCTGAAAGATTTCTCAGAGAAAAGCCAGGGAGGAGTTTTGGGCCATGAGGGTCACAGCAAACCAAAGTCACGAGGAAGCAGAAACGACGAGGAAGATGAAAAAGCAGAAACTGTGGGCAAGCAGGAGATACCAGGCAGAGAATGGACAAACAGCTCCTCAAACAGTATGAGGAGCTGATCTCTAACGAATGGAGAACAGTAGAATCACAAAGGGAGGGAGTCGCAGAGCCACTTGTTAAACTCCCCTGAACATGTGAGCCTCACTCTCATGCTTTTGTCTTCTGTGTGAAGCAGGACTATTGGCTTCTCCCGGGTTCCCTAGCATGGATCTGTTAAGAGTTTTCCTGAGAAACAGAGCCAATGTTATATATATGATTATATATTCATAAATTTTATAACATATTATAATATAATTATATTGTGTAATATATATCATCTATTTTTATATACATCATGTATTTTTATAGATCTCTCATTCTATCTCTATCTCTATTTCTGTCCCTGTCTATTTGACTCATGCAATTTTTAGGGAGTGAAAAGTCTGAAATTTGTAGGGCTTGAAATCTTAAAATTCAGGTAACAGTTGATGTTGCAGTCTTGAGTCCAGATTTCACAGGGCAGCAGGTTGGAAACTCAGGAAGTCAGGTAGAGTTTCTGTGTTGCTGTCTTGAGGCGAATTCCTTCTTTGGGAAACCTCAGTTTTTCTCTTAAGACCTTCAACTGATTGGAGGAGGCCCACCCACATTATGGAGGGTAATCTATTTAAACCAGTCTACTAACTTAATGTGAATCACATCTAGAAAACATCTTTACAGCAACCTCTACACTAGTGTTTGGCGGAACAACTGGGCATGATAGCCAAACTGACAGACAAAATCAACCATCACAAGACCCTTGCCAAAAATCTCCTGTTGCTTGAGAAAATCTTGTTTTCTGTACTGAGGGCAAGTTTACTTAGCTAGTAAGTGGTAAAGAAGGATTTCAGCCCAGAAATCTGACTTATGACTTACATTTTTATCCACTAAGAGCTTATATCATTTTGTCTTGTCTGTATAATTTACTAATTCATTTCTCATGCAGGTGCATTTACTGGGGACGTCTTAAATTGTATTAAATTCTGGGGAGATGGAGAGTAAATAGTTAAAATACACAGTAATATATTTATTAAATAGAATTATATATGATTAAAATACAACCTATTACATATGATATATAGATTATATTAAAAATATAGTTATAGTAAATATATTTTAAATATTAAAATAAAATAGAAAATAAGTAAAATAGGAAGTAATTAAAATCAAATGTAATGATAGATGAAAGGGGAAGTTGCAATGAAGAGAAGCAACCGCTGCGGTTGGCCGGTGGGTTTAGGGAAGGTTTCCAGTAGGCAACGTCAAGTGTCAGATTTGATGAATTGGCATTAACTAGGCAGGAGGAGAGGGTGGAGAATGGTGTAAGGAATGGGGGGTGAAGGGCCACTCAAACAGAGGGGCGAGCAGGTGCAGAATCACAGAGCTTGAGAGAACAAAGAGCTGGAAGTCTTGATTTATCTTCCTTGGAGATAGTGGCCCAAGGAAGGCCCTTCCTTCTTCCTTCCTTCCTTCCTTCCTTCTTCCTATCCTTCTTCTCTGTCTTCTTCTTCCTTCCGTTCTCCCTCCCGCTCCTCTTCTCCTCCTTCCTCTTGTTCTTCCTTCTCTTACCTCCTCCCTTCCGTCCCTCTCCTCCTCTTTTCCCTTGCCCCTTCCTCGCTCCTCCCTCTCACTTCTTCCCCTTCCTTCTCTGTCTTCCTTCCCTCCTCTTCTTCCTGTCCTTCTTCTTTTTCCTGTCTTCCTTCCTTCCTTCCTGGTATCACCCAACTCCACCCATCCTTCAGCCATGTCGTTGAAGTCTTATATATTTTGCATTCTTTATTATAATCATTGAATAGATGAATGGATGAATGAATGAATAATAAGATATACACACCTTATCCTGATAACCGACTTCTAGTCTAGAATTTGGTTATCTGGATAACCAAGTCTGGTTGCTGTTATGAGAGACCACAACACTGAGCTCATTGGTCTCACCTGGTGTGATAATTCCTGTTCTTTCAAATAATTTTCCTTTGATGATGGTATTTTCAATTATTAACCTTGCCTCTTTCCCCTTTCTACATAGATAATCAAGGGCTTATTACGACTCTGAGCTAGGTAGGCAGAGGAACAGCCTGAAGGCTAGATTGAAGATTAGGCCCAGGCAGTGAGATATTGCAAGTGACCGTGGGGAACAGCTGTCACAGCTGGCAGCCAGCAACCAGAAAAGAGGAATCTCGGAGTTCAGTTTGAACAGAACCCATGGGCCATCTGGAGGGCCAAAAGGCAAGGTATGAATCGTGATGAATATTTCAAGAAACAGTATGCCTGTGCACGTGTGTGAACATCATGTTTAATGTGTTAGGGATGTTTCAGGTCATGGATGTTTTTTGCTTAAAGGAGCGTTAATAAAAATCAGTGACACAAGGGACTATTATTTTAGATTAAATGGTTGTTAGAAAGCTTTGATCTTTGAATTATGTATTTTAAAACTTAGAAGGAACTGAATAATTGGGTTTAATTCAACATAATGCTTAGAGGCAATCAGTTAGTAAACCTATATAAGGTTTTCCCCATATCCTAATAGCCTAGCACAAGTGACATATACATACACACACACACACACATACATACACCACTGGGTCTATGCAGAATGGTGAAAATAACTAGCAATAATTCACTTATCCTAACTGTAACTTTATAGTAAAGAATAGCTCACAGGTTCATAGGTTCATATGGGGTTAAAAATTCTTCTCATATTAATATGTTTTAGGCTCTAAGCTTGGCATTGCTATTGACTATTTATAAATACATTTCTTTTGCTCTTTTTGAGCCACAATTTCTTCATCAGTAAAATGAGGAACCAAAGTAGATGATCTTTCTAACTTGTAAAACTTTGTGTTTGACAGAGGGGTTCATATATATATAAAAGCACTTTGAAAAGTATGAGTTCTCACACAAATATAAGTATGGCTATCATTTATTCATTCACTCATTCATTTATTCAATATATTTGCTCTGAGCACCTATTATGTGCTAAGGAGTCTGCTAATTGTTGGGGCCACATTGATGAAAAAGACAGATGTAGTCTCTGTCTCCTTGGTCTCTTTGGAGGGGATGAAGACAATTGTAAGATTGTGAGATTTTATGTTACTGCTTAATAGGTGTATCATTTCAGGTAGGTGTAGAGTGGAAGGTAATGATGTCTTTTGGGACTATGTCCCAGGATAGCTATGGGAATCAAATGTGATAATTGTTGTGAAATATAAAAAGTGCCATTCAGGTGTGACTCTACTATGAAATATCAAGAGGAGAGAGAAAAGAAATTGGAAGACGGTTGAATCATGGAACTTTCCCCAAACTAAGGATAAGGATGGGGAAAAACTGAGAAGGGAGTGAAAAACAGACAAAGGAGAGAGGTAGCAGAAAAATGACAAGTAATACATGGGAAATAAAAATGAGTTGTACTAAAAATATTTTTCAGATTTTACCTAGTGTTAAATGTTAAACTCAGAGATCATATTCCAGCAATAAATATTTGCTGAAAAATTTGGGTAAAACACTGAAAAAAGTAAAAAACCTCTTTGGTTCTTATTTTCACATTTGAAATCTAAATTTTAATCTAATTCTAAAGTTGATTTCTAATCTTCAAGAAAGGCAGGCCCATTCTACAAAAACAGCCTGAATTTATGCTTTATCCTGGGCCTGTTTTTCCAGTAACTTTGCTCAAAAAAAGTCTTTGCTCTGGATTTGGAAAGGGCAGTTGTTGCTGTAGAAGAAAGAGTTTACCGCCTTGGCAATAAATTTCCAGTTGTGCATGGGGGCACAGGTTGTGGCTAAGATTTGACATCAACATTTCACATTTCTAAGGAACAATTTTTGCTGTTTGATATAATTGTTTCACTGGTCTTGTTGAAGAAAATCCGACAAGATCAAATGCTTCTCTATGCAAGAACAGAGGTATGATAGGGATTCTGGCAAATGTTGAACAGTATATTTTCAGAGTGAACGTGAAACCTTTCTCCTTGATTTTTGTGATTCTCCTAGTCACATTTCTCGTTAAGAAATCTAATCTTGTTCCAAGACTAAAAGGACATATTGTTACCTTCTCGATAACATGTAAAATGTTTAAAGACAAAAATATTTGATTATTTTTACTCTGTATAGAAACTGTCATTTTAATCAACAAAATGAATTAGCATGACATTATATTTGAAGCTTTCATAAAAGTAGAAACTTGTCTGTGAGTAGTTTTGCTGATATTTACCTAGTCATCTCTTCTTTGCTTTCTCTTGATTGAAACTCTGATTGTTATTTATTTTGGTACACTCACGAATCCCAAAATTTTTTGCTGAAATAAAACCTTTGATATTTAGGGCAAGTTTTAATGATCTGTTTTCTTTTAGAATGACTAATTTTAAAAGAAAAAAATGCCAAGTCATAGTCACACTTCCCAGGCATGCATCATTTTATGACATTTTTTTTTTTTTCTGAGCATGAAGAATTTCTTCTTAGAGCAAAAACTTGGAAGAACAGAGGCACCAAGGCCAAAGCATCTAAAACAAGTGGATTATCTACAGCTGGAACAGTTTATCTTAAATTTATGCTGCAATCAAGAACAGAGGTAGATAAACCCTTCTTACATTGTCACCTTAGGGAGGAAAAGGACAAATGAATGTTTATTGCTTTGTGTCTCTTCTTACATATCTCACCAGAAAAAGATTTTCCTGGTCAAATCATTATTGCTAAATTTATCTCCGGAGAGACACTGCTGTTTAATCGAATCTTTGCAAGATTTTACCCTGGTGTTCTAAAAAGAGAAATTACTCAGTGTGATATATTTTATTATTTTCTTTTGAATAATTCCAGGAATAGTTCATAAAATATTTTGGTCCGCAAGTGTTGCAGACGGAGTCTTGGAGATTAGGTTGTCAAATTAAGACAGAGGAGTTACAGAACCTAGATCTGTGATGGTTTAACTGTTACTGTGTCAAGTTGAAAAGTTGCCTGATGTTAAGTTATTTATTTCAGAGAATGAAACATGGAATAAATACCATTTTGCTGATGCTTTTGTGTCTCAAGATGAGAGGATAATTTTTTATAGAAAAATTTTAAAATCATCGAATTGACTCCTGAGAAGTGAGGTGAAGAGATATAATTTTTTTTGCTAATACTTTCTTTAATGTATTTTGTTCTGCTAAAAATATACTTACCCTTTCAGTCTGTTTTTGCCTCAATATTTTCCCCCATTGCTGAAACTGATAGGAAAAAATCTATTCCTCCCCCCAAAAATTTCAGTATGAGATATATTATTGGCAGACTTTTATGCTACTCAGAAATAAACTGATTGATAGCATCTATGTCACTTTGGGATTTGAAAGAGTAAAATAATAATTTTTTTGTGTGCGGGTATATGTGTGTGTTTTCTCTTTCCCCCCTATTATTTTGCATATTTTATTATTTATAATTTTAAAACTGAAACTCATCTCAAATATCAATATCAAAAGTTGACTTATCTGGTAAGGTTTCTGAGTCCTCGACAATGAAATCATTATTATTTTTTAATAATTTTTTTGTAGTTTCAGTTAAAGGTCTCAATTTCTACATACAACAGATGTGAGTAGGATAAATAAAAACTGGTTCTCAAATTAAAAAGAATAATAGATTCAATCTCAAGTTTATTTTCAATTAATTTAATTGTAATCTGATAAATTAAAATTATAGCATATATTTATGGGGCACAAAGTGATGTTATGATTTATGAATATAATGTGGAATCATGAATCAGCTAATTAACATATCTAGCACCTCAAATACTTATTTTTTATGGTGAGAACATTTTAAATTTACTGTCAGTGATTTTGAAATGTACAATATAATGTTTTTAACTATATTCACCACACTGTGTAATAGGTTAGAAAAACCTTATTCCTCTTGTCTAACTGAGGCTTTTGACCTTTTGACCATCATCCCCCCATCTCCCCATTCCCACCCCTCTGGTAACCACCATTCTACTCTCTGCTTCTATGAGTTCTATTGTTGCAGATTCCACATATAAGTGAGAAGATGTTGTATTTGTCTTTCTGTGCCTGGCTTGTCTCACTTAGTGTCATAATGTTCTCCGATTCCATCCATGTTGTTGCAAATGACAGAATTTCTTTCTTTTTAAGGCTGAATGGTATTCCATTGTGTACCAACTGCAAGTTTAAAAGAGGAAGCTGCACAGAAAGACAACTATTTAAAAAAATACATAGTTAAAAGTTAATTTCCTGCCAAGAATCCTGGTCCTTCCTACCAGATCTGTTGGTGAAAATTCCCACTTTCCATGGCAAATTAGTTGATGGAGACAGTGATTTGAACTTAGTAGAAAAGCTAGAAAGTGCTAACCATAGTTATTCTTCCGTATTCTCAGATGAGGGTTATGTATGGTATAGGACTTTAGGATGTTAGGGGGCCTGAGATATGAATGAAGAGGATGAATAGAATTTTACTTTGTAGAAGAAATTAAATGGCTATAGGTCAGTCATAATTTGCTCAATCTCTTTTTTCACAACCTAATAATAGTCTATTTTGAAGTTGTTTTTTTTTTTTTTAGTGTGTGGATAATAATCAGAAAAATACTTATGGATTATTTGTTGAGAAGATTTTACTTTCACCAAAGCCATGAAGGGCTTTTTTCTTGGATCAAGTGCTGAGGCTCCCAGAGCGATGTCATTTAGTCTGCCATTTTTAGATAATGGACTTTCACCTGGACAAGATGGAACTTTTAAAATGAAATTGGTCCTTTATTTTTTTTTTTATTACTATTTAGTTATTGATCAAAGGAATCAGGGCCAACAGAACTTTGCTTTTGCACATCTGAACTTTTATTTTTGGTTTGATAGCAGAACTTCAGTGCTTCAAGTACATCTTTGTTGAATCAATATACTGAAATGGAATGCCTTTTCAAGGAAACTGATGGGTGGTACTAAGGAGGCTATGAGTAATAGGGATTTCCCTATGATATTCACATTTATTATAACATTTTACTAGTTTCTTACAGTTCCTATTCACTAATCTACAATCAACCTCATTTCCTTTCTTCCACTATTTTCCTTTTGGTTATAGGTTTAAAGAATTTTAATGATCTGAAAATAGCTTTCTACACTAATGAAATAAATATGTCAAAGGGATTCTTTTTTCCCATTTAAATTTTAATAGTTATTTTCTGAGTTCATTTTCTTACCATGCTAAAGGCAATTCTAGGATGGATTCTATTTCAGTAGGGTTGAAATATATACCTCTGAAAACTCATGCCACAGTACCATATCTCCTGACTGGTACTGCTACTAGCAGGGAATTATGTTTCATAACTTTTCTGGGTGAGGTTAAATTTATGTTGGTGGAAATTAACCAGAAAATTTAAGCTGAGAAATTATCTTATCTCTCCTTTCTAAATCTTAGAAATGGAATAATTAAAGATAATTTAGGTTTCCTTTTCCTGTCCTGCTCTAATTTATCACCCTAAATGAGCCAATCCTTCTACCATTCTAAGAGAGGTTTCACTTTGGCACCAGGCTTCCGTCCTTCTGTGAACCCTCAGACCTTGTCGTATCCTGAATGACTTCGACACCTGCCCGAGTGACACAGGTTTCTCAGGGCTTTGACTTACTTATAACCCTCTTTTACTGTAACCCCGTTCATCTACTCCTTTCATGGTCCTCACTCATATCTTCACCACTGAAATATTATATTCAAACATTTGCTCTTCAGGCATAGCCTCCTATACATATTGCTCTTTGTCTCATTAGGCTTTTAACTTTTTCTTTTTCTTTATGAGATTAGGCTTAAAATTAAAATTTTTTTTTCTTTTCTCACATTTATTTATTTATTTATTTTTATTTCAGCATATTATGGGGGTACAAATGTTTAGGTTACATATATTGCCCTTGCCTCTCCCACCTCCCCAAGTCAGAGCTTCAAGCATGTCCATCCCCCAGATGGTGTTTATTTGTTCAAATTAAATCTACAAACTACCAGTAACTTGGAAAGAATTGAAACAATCACATTTTCAATATTCTCATCTGGGAACATGGAATATATCTTCATTTATTTGAGACTCCTTCATGCCTTAGAAATGAACTTGAAGCTTTCTTTATACATGAGTTTGTATATTTCTTCTTTTTCGTTACCCTTTGATATTAGCAGTTCAAATTGGGGTGTAGAAAGATGGTAAATTCGGGCCCAATCTCCAATTTGCTGGGAGATCCTTGGACAGGAGCACTGATACTGAAAGTCTAGTGGGAGGTGGAGGTCTTTCTGGTTTATATCAGGATCCCAGGCAGTAACTGAATAACAGGGATTTGATAATGGGCTGTGAAAGTTGTTTGGGCCCCAGTTAAGTGTCTGGGTTTAGAGAAGAGCTTCAATCTCAGTAAGGAAACAGGAAGGCTCAGTCACTAAGTTAGAAGGCCAAGTATAGTGTGATCAGCAATAGGGTGGGGTGAGCATCAGGGAAGGTTCCTGAAACTCACCCAGGCATGTCAGATATTGGTCATCTTCCCATGGGACTTATCTGAGACATTACCAACAAGTTCCTTCATAGTTTTAATTTGGAGAAATAGGTGGAGCTGGGAGTACAGGTGGGTGGGGGTCAATGAAACTCTGGGGGTGACAGTGGTAAGATGTCATCAGAGATGGGACAAGAAAGGTAATTTGGAGTCAGCTTGTGGAAGGCATTGCTTAAGGCCTTACATCATAGAAAGCCCTCGAAGGGTGGTCCAATGTAGAATCAAATTAAATGGCAACTGAATAAATATGAAATGCTATTATTAATTATAATTTTTTTGTTATATTATTTCACTTTCATAAAAGGGACCGGGGAGAACTTTTAAACCAAAGAGTTAACTCTTGGTTTGCTGTATGAGGATTGTACTCTATGGAAATTTCAGACCTAGGCATAGTTTTTTGGGTCATGTTGGGGCTCTCTCTCCTGCATACAAATCATTTGGTTTCAGTACATTCAGGAAAAATAAACTAATTTTAGTATTAGCCTAATCAAAATACAGGAAGGCAGATCTGTTGTAATAACATAATATGGTATAATCCCAAACTTAATATATTTGTATCCTGCTTTAGGCAAATTTAATATGTTAAAAGATTTACATAAAAAATCAATTGGAGGATAGTTATTTGCTTTACAAAATTTTTATCATACTTAGAAAAAAAACCCAATTTCCTTTAGGGCATTTAAAATCTGATTTGGTGTACTAAATCAGGTTGTACATACACATTTATCCTGATTAATAATCAAGTGGGACTAGTTAATAGGGATAAACATACATTTTTTGAGTTTAAGCTTTAAAATGTCAGTATAACCATAGAGCTGAGTGCTCTGGCTCTAGCAGATCAAGAGGTCAGTTTTATTAACTGCAGGTTGAGTAGAAGATGATTCAGTGACATGATGCCAAAGCAGGGGAATGTGATTTGAGCCTCTGTTAATAGAATTCAAGGGTCCACAATGAGAATGTCAGATATTCTACACAGATCACACCTGGGCACTTCCTGCTCCACTTTAATGGGGGTCCTGAGAAACTCAGCACCTGCAGAGGCAGGTGTTGTGAATGGAGGTTGAATAGAGGATGC